AAGGACAATGTAATTCAAAACAGTGATTCACCAATCCCTCCCATTCATTTACGAGGTAATGTGAAATGCATACATTCATACAAAATCATCAAAGAATGGAATCGTCAACACGCATCACGATTATAATGTGGTGTCATCTGTGGAGCCGTTTCTCTCAAATTTGCGTTCAGCATAACTCTGAGAAAATTTCCCAGTCCATAAATGCTGTAAGCTACATGCTTGTGAAATTTCATACATTTAGGTTATGCAATCGCAATTAATAAAGGTAGTTTTTATTAAAATTCTACAAATTAGTGAAATAGGCTGAATGTTATGACAAAATACTCGTAAACGTTTGCGCACAAGTTTTTCTTCTACATTTTTTAAGACATCTAAATTTTCCATCTTTCTGTCGTTACCATCACCTTATGTGTACATTGGGAAATGCATTACATTTTACTCCCTGATTTTTAACTTAGCGCAGAAATTTAACCCTGATTCTGGGATATTATTCACATTTAATTACACATACCTTCGCATTACCTACTTAAAATAAATTATATTTATAATATATCTTACAAATCACATATCACTAAAATGTCTCCGCAAATTAATCAGTATTAGTTTTTGTCATTAACCCTGTACACAACGGGAACACTGATATAGTGTATTTTTACCACATTCGATATTTTCCGTCACTATTTTGGTCAAGAATCTCCGATTGTTGCATGGACGGCACATATCCAGTACACATCTTTTACAAATTTTGGAACACGTTATACTTGATTTTGAACTCTTAAATCGAGCTCTATTAACTTTTCACTCTTTAATTTTTTGAAATCGGTAGCTCTTATGATCTTTTACGTACAGTGTTACGAACGTGTATTGTTTCGGATTTTTTTTTGTTTTAAGGTAGACAGATCACTGTAATTTTACTAAAATACTTGAATCGTAATTTTAAAACTATTGATTCAATTCTGAGGTGTCTTATGGTGTCTAGAAGATTCCATTTTTCAGACGACGTACGAATCTACTGCGACTGTAAATGATAATTTGTTTGTTTCAATGAGAAACAAAACATTGTATTATTCATGAACCCTTCAAACAATATGAGAGCAATCCTGGTTTAATTTGGGTTTTGATTATAATATTACCTTCATTAATGTAGTGACATTTCAAGTCATCAATTGAAGTCAATTAAAGACAATATGAGTCATCCCTTTTTTAGAACTTAACGATATCCATTATTTTTTGCAGACTTCAACAAAACATTGTAGACACAAAAATGTACGTAATACTAGAAACTTTTTGACATTACGAATTATTTAAAATTTGACAGATAATATTATATGATGTGGTTTTTTTAACAAATCTTAATTATTCATAAGGACTTGTCCATAATGATATGTTAACCTAATTTAATTAAATACCATTATTATTAACATTTATTTAACTATATTCTCAGTGGCATCATCTCAACAGTAAAAGAAAAACCGTTTTAATAATGGACTTGTCGTGGCTGCTGTTGCTTGTTCAGGAGGATTGTAATATGTTTGGAATAATAATAATAAGCTATATTAATAAATTAAAATTGCCTATTTCAGTGATGGTAAATTCCAAGTAAAAAATTGAAATTATATTACTAATATTTGGTACAAACATTTTTAGTATTGCTTGAAATTAGAGCAAAACAATTATTTTCATCACTATAATTAAGCTAGACATTCGTGTGTCAGAAATATGACCCCATCGCTGGCATGAATGTTGCTTTGTTAATTATTTATGTTGTGGCTACACACTATTACACGTTTGAGCTATTTTAAACATAAATGTCTGCAATTTTGCAGGTCTGCATTTAAGATCTTAACTCATCTAAATTACAGCATTTATCTTTTTACATATTTCTTTAAAAACTTTTGTGAATTAACGTAGTAAAAATCTGTGAGTGTAATTTGACTAATTAGCATTTAGTAATTTCACTAAGTGTCAGAGTTCCGAAACTTAGTTGATATTTTTGAATATCAAGATAGGTACAAAGATACCATTCACGTACAATGGAGTCACTGACATATAAAATGAAATTTTGAAAATAAATTGCTGCACAATTCCATGTATCACTTTTTCACGACACATACATTTTTCTAGTCAGAGTCATAGAATAACTGATATATACTGTTTCACTAATTGTGAATTACGTTCAGATATTATAACAAGTATAAATGTCACTAACACGTAATGTTTGTGAATGTGTCGTGGGTCAACACTTTTCAATAATATTCTCACATGTATATCGTTGTCACTTCAAGGTGCTTTTCAAATACATTGACTATTTCATATATTATTCGTAATTAGTCACTTTCACGAAATGCAGTATCTGTATGCTAGCAAAATCTGCTTCTATGAAAATCGATAATCAACGTTTCTCTTAATCACTCATGAAATCCAATCGTTTGTTGAAGCTACGATTGGCCACTGTAAGTTTTGCTGACATGTCAGTCTCATTTAATTTTCTGGAAGCAGAGGCTGAATTTCCAGTGCATTATATACGGAGTCTCTGTCAAATTGCCTTTCAGAGAACTTATAAAAGTCGTCTCAAATACGTAATACATAATTTCACTAATTTTCAATAATCTGTTTACATGTCTAGTACTTGTTCACTCAAAACAAATTGGCATTCTTTGATCGCTTTCATTTCTTCCACAAAATATTGCGATTACATTCTGGTACAAAGTGTCATTTTATTTTCGAAATAGTTGTGGCGCTGCAAGGGTACTTTCTCTGGTACTTTCAAGAATTACCTAATAAATTATAATACTGATCCAGATTTGGCTATCAGTTTTTTAATCCTATGTAAACATTGTCCGTTATTGTACACATTTTACAGTCATTGCTGCTAAGAATGTTGAACTTGAAAACTGTTTTTTGCGTTCCTCGTAAGTTGCAATTATTGATCGAATGTATCAACAAGGCAAAATAAAATCCTAGTCTATTACTATCACCCGACTGCCTAATTTAGGAAATTCATTTCTTCTGTCAAAACCTCGTTTACATATTTATGAACGATGTGAATTAAGTTCTTTAGGGTGATATAAGTTTTCTTTAGAAATTAGTTATTTAAAATTCAGGAGTCCGATACGTGTGAAAATCCTTGAGTAGTTCTTCTTCTAAACTCTCCCGCTGACGATTAATGAACTTCAGAAGTAACATTGCTTCCTTATTTTCAAATGCTCCTTAAAGTGTCTCCTCACATACACTTTTTGCGTTGTCGATTTTCATTAAATAGAAGTGTAATTTTGTATTTGGAAAGATAATTTGCTCATTTGTATCTTCTGTAGACAAATGAGAGCAAAACACCGTTTTTACGAGTTATAATATTTTATGATGGTGCCAATTAACCATCCTATTTGTACGTCTTCATTTGATCTTAACATCTGGACACGAGTAAGAGGTCTGGTTTAGAGGTATCTAACCAGAGCTTTGTTCTTCTCTGAAGATCCTTTTTGAATCAAAAGTAATCAGATTAAGAAGTTCATAAAACAAAATGCAGTTTTTAGGCGATTACATTTGGTAGAAAAAGGTCTTTGCGTAGGTTGCGGAAGTTCAGGAAGGACGATATCTGATGATAGCAATGAGATCCTTCAAAGGTCATCGGCATTCATAGCAAATAGCAGGAGAAACCCATTTCACCGGACTTCTTGGGATATTCTCCAGCTTCCAAACGGATTCGTAGTCGGCAGCAATGAGATTTCATCAGAAATCCCTTCATTGATCATATCAAAAAGGAAAGGATGCAATTAAACGCCAGGTTGAGATCTTTCATCGTCCACTAGCGTCCAGGAGAAAGGCAAACGGCAACATTGAGATCTTGCAAGCTTGTTCCGTGATCCATTTGGTTCACGAATAATATTTGACGACATCATGTCGACTTATTATCCTGCGAAGTCCACCAAAGTCTAGAGAAAGTAGTAATTAGCAACACTGAGATCACGAAAGTTGCATAAAGTTCGTGATTCATGCTATTCACGAATGACGATGTTGTTTTCAGATCCTGCGAAATCCAGCCGTTGAAGCTACAGTTGGCGAAAGTGCAGTTTCATTCGAGGACCTGCAACAATGCAGTTTGATAGCGGGAGTTGCAAGACGAGCAGATTCAACGGCATCGATTTGAGATCCTTAATAATTCACCTGCACCCCAAAGGGTGTGAGAATCGGCAACATTGAGATCCCATAAGCTCGGTGTGTTTCAAAATCTCCTTTCTTGACGCATGACTTTCGACGATGACGGCTTGAGATCCTGAGAAGGCCACCAGCGTCCAGAAGTATCTTGAGAGTGCAACATTGGGATGACGTAAATTTCAAGTAGTTCACAACATTCGGTGATGTCGGATTGAGGACATTAGAGAGACACCAGTATTCAGGAGAAGTTTTGTTGTCAACACTGAGATCTCGTAATTGCCATGATGTTCGCGAATGCCGACGTCGGCTTGAGATCTTGTAGAGTTCACCAGCGTTCAGAAAAAGCTCGAGTCGGTAATATTGAAATCCCAAAGATCCATGTAGTTTACGAATCATGACGTGGGCTTGATATCCTGCAGAGTCCGTCAGCGTGCAGAAGATGGTCGAGTCCGCAACACAGATCCATGTATTTCACGCATGACGACGTGGGCTTGAGATTCTGCGAAGTCCTCCAGCGTTGAGATGGTCGAGTCCGCAACACCGAGACCCCTAAATCCCATGTTGTTCACGAATGTCGACGTCGGTTGGAAATCTTACGAATTCCCTCAGCGTTCATAGTCAGCAGCACCGAGATCCACGTGGCCCGCGCACGCCGTCTTCGGCTTGAGATCCCGCGAAGTCCACCAGCGCCCGACCCCCGCGCCAGCCGCCACCAGCGCCGCGCAGCGCGAGTCTCAGAAGAGGTGGTAGTTGGCGACGTCGGCGGCCTGCGCGAGCGCGCCGCCGCCTCCGCCGTCTAGCGGCGGCGCCGCCGCCGTCCAAGCCCGGCCGCCCGGGCGCGCGCCTCAGAACAGGTGGTTGGCGGTGGCCTTGTTGAGGGTGAGCGGGTCGCCGGGCCCGCCCAGCAGGTAACTGGCCGGGCCACCGCCGGCCGCCGCCGCGCCCAGCAGCGACGAGAAGGGCGACGCGAGCGCCGCCGCGGCGTGGTGGTGGTGGTGGTGGTGCGAGTGGGTGAGCGCGGCGTGCGTGTTGTTGACGGCGGCCGAGGCGGCGGTGGCGCCGTGGTGCTGGGGCGGCCCGCCCTGCTGCCCGGCCGCCGACGCGCCCGCCGACGCCGCCTGCAGCGCCTTGGTGGCCTGCTGCACCAGCAGCGGCGTGGAGCACGCCTGCGACCCCCACTTGCCCGGCACGCCGTCCTCGCCCAGCTTGGCTGTGGGAAGGAAAGCAACTCGTCAAAGGCGAGCAGGCACGACACATACACTAATGCATGCCACTCCAAACTACAATAAGGGAAAAATAATTTGAAAACATCTTTGACGTATTTTGGTCTATCATAGTACGTTTATTTTTTCGAACAAATTATAATTTGTTTCTAGAACTTTCATCCTTCGGACAGCCGGTTGCCCTTTACGTTCCGATGGGGCCATACACTAGACACCTACTCACTTGCGAACTACTCTGATCTGCGGTGAGCAGAACGCGAGATCCTTCGCGATAATACATACATGAGAGACAAGAGACAAACAACCATGCTCGAGGTGGATCTCGAAGTCGTGACCCTTCGGACCGAAGCGCAGAGGCGGTACACGCTCTTAGCCACAGCAGCCATCCGGGTGCGTCAAATTACAAGAATTGCTGAATATAATTACAAGGTATCGCCTTTACCTAATTATTTAACTAGATACGTCTATAATCGAATCGTAGCTTCCTGAAAATATGATGACGAATCTAAGACATCGAAAGTAACTCTTTTTGTAAATATTGAAAAGCAATTCATAGCATTTCTATCTATATGCGAGTTGACCTACGCGTTTAAATTGCTAAAGAGGTTTAAATTAATAATTAATCATTAATATTTTGATTTTAAAACTGTAATCAAATGAAGTAATCAAAAGTAACAGAGGTCTTTGCTTTCAAAAATATAAAAATAATGTGTTTTTACAATAGTTGATTTTTCCCCTATTTACCAATATTTGTACTAGTAGTAGATGATTACTACCTTAACATGAATCTACAGTGTATTTAAATATTGTGACTCTAGAGGGTCTCGGTTCTTTCACAGGATGATGCACGATATGATAATTGGCAACATTAGTGTTTTATCAATATATTTCCATCTCCTGACGGTATTTAGGAAAAGAAAGGGTAGGCAATTGATTCTGTTTTGGAAGCATCTTTGCCAAGGTAGCGAAGAGAGTTGGTGAAAGGGGTAAGTTTTTAACTTTTGAAAGAATAAAGAAATGAATGATCTTGATTTCATAGTACTTATTAAGCATGCTGGCCTTTCTTTTGCTGTAACTAGCTGCACTCAATAGCAGGTCGTGGCAAGGACGAGAATCACGTAATTATGTTATTTAGACTTCAGCAATGTTCCTGAACAGTAGTTCTGCATAATTGCGTATTTTTTATGCACACACCCTTGTGAAGAGGGTCACTGTGAACGTGACAATGAGATTGGAGGAAGCATACGCAAGAGACCGAATACCTGAAGTGCCGAGAATGCGTTTCCAATGTGGCGCTTTATCATTTAAAATCGTTGTGTCTCTGTCTAATATCAAGAGATTTTTCACAGCTTTTGATATCCCCTTTCAGGCCAACAACAATACGTTTAAAATATTTTAATGGCTCATTATTTTTCACAAAATGCAAGGTACAAACTATTATTTTTGAATAACTAAATATTATTAATAGTTAAATGTATTAAATAATACAAAACAACAAAGTAGGTAAATATATTAAGTTGTATATATTTTTTGTTATACTAATACAGTATTATAATTGTTTTCTTAATGTAATAAATTGTTTTGTTATGAGTACAAATAACGTTTTTCGTTCTTAAGTTACATTAATCCAAACTCCAAGTAGTAGGTGCTGTTTGCAAAAAATTTTCAGTGCCATCGATCTTGTCATTGTGAAAACTTGTTGAGAAACAGTATTCAAACAAGTTTTTGCCTCATTACTTCCTTGTATGATAAGTTTTGTCAGCTATTGAGCAACTTTATGTTGCTAATGTGGTGGTCTTTCTTCGAACGTTCCGACCTTTTCATAGTTGTTTTCCTCCTTCCTCTGCTGATAAATGTTACTCCATTTCTGTTTATTTTAGCTTCCATATTCTGAGCAAATTTCGAGTTACAAAAGTGGATTTGTCTTGAAGTTTTCCCATTAATGACAACGTTGCACCATTATGAACTTCAATATTTTCTCCTTAAAGTTTCTTTCTCAAACTTGGGAAATATTGCGGATGTCATATTTCTGAGGACAGTTAAGAACTTTGGAATTGATGTGTATTTATACTTCTTATTTCAGAGCGTTTATAATTCTACAATCATTGTAATTTATTACAGAGCATATTGTTTCGCAATGCTCTAAAATATCGAATTTAAATGTTGATCTTTCGCACTGTAACTACAGTGTGTACTCAGGATTTTCCTTGGGGGGGGGGGGGGCTAAGTCATAGTGTCCAGCTGACTTGCTGTTTTCTTACAAAGAATATTTCTCTTATACTGAATATAAAATGTTACTGAATATAAATTAATATAAAATATATTTGTTGACTTACATTTAATATTTATATCCCAAACAATATACGAGAGAGAGAGAGAGAGAGAGAGAGAGAGAGAGAGAGAGAGAATGGCATTTCAGATAATGTTCTTTATTTCCAGTTTGAAATTTATCTGACCTCACATTAACAGTGTGGGTTTTGTTTTAGAAGATCGTTGATTACTAATTGCGATTACAATTGTACATTACACTGTACATTGTAATAATATATTTCTTTGCTGCTTCGCTGTCTGGGAGATGCTGCATCCTAGGCACAGGTGCCAACGTTCGGCCACCATTCTGCGACATTTCTCTCTGAGGAAGGTCGCAGAATGGCGGCCGAAACGACGGCACCTGTACCTAGGACGCGGAGTCTTCCGGACAGCCAAGCAGCTACTGACTTCGGCCGCGAAAGTCTACGCTTTCAATATCTCTCTTCGACAATATTTGTTCACTCATTGGCCACTTTTAAATTAATTTCTATTTATGCTTATTTTAATTTATAAATTTCTACTGTTTACATTTTCTGACCAATTATATTTTCCTAAGGGTGAAAAAAAATTACAATGTCCATTATTATTTTGATACCCTTAATGTTCTGTGACTCATATTGTATAAATTTGTAAACTCGAAACCTTCACAGTCAAACTATAAACAATGATTTTTTCTAAAAAGTAGAGGAATAAAGTAGTTAGCTCCTAGCTAATTGATCACGAATGAAATACATTTTAATGTATGGTATTTATAATAATAATAATAATAATAATAATAATAATAATTATTATTATTATTATTATTATTATTATTATTATTATTATTATGAATGGCGAAGAGCCAGAATTAAGTGATTTCTCAGCGAGTAGAAAAGTAATTTTTATGATGGGGGGGATATAAGGCACGATGACATTCACCACGTGTCCGTCATTCAAAATACAGCAACATTGGGAATTGCCTTATAATTTTCATTTCGTACCAAAACTTACTAATTGCAGTGTATATGTATTTTCTAAATGATTACATGAATTATGAAATGGAGTTTTTCAATATAACAATGGCGACAAATATTAATATTCATAACCAACGTATTGATATGACTGATTGTTGACTGATACTAAAAACTTTCATTTAAACAGATTTAATTTACTTTCATTATTTGCTTTAATTTAATTGTTTTATAAGATTGTTTTAAATGGGGCCAGTTTATATTGTAGTTCATTGGGTATTAACTATTTTTCAAAAGTTTCTAGAGAAATACATTTCCACATCAAATGTGTAAAAACATATAATTTATTATAATGATGATCAATTACTGTATCACAGTTAAACGTCCTAATTCTGCATCAAGAACATCAAATAATAAAATTGTAAAATTAGGGCATTTCCATCTCACATAATAGCATCATTTTTCGTATTTATCCAACTTAATTCAGAAGCTCAATTACAAAAATTTTGGAAATTCTTGAGAAAAAATGCAGATGTCGAATGAACTTCTACAACAGTTTAGAAATGACAAAACGCATCTAGTTTATAAAGAACCGGAACAAAAGAATAAGAAAAAGCGATTATCCCACCCTGAACTTGAACACATTAACCTACACACTAGCTCTCGACAACGGTGGACACTGCGTCGAACTAGACCACCGGGCAAAAATACGCTCAAAAGCTGCAACTTTCTTTCTACGTCATCCATTTCCGGGAGCCTCCTGGTTTAATCTCTCTCGATGATTCCCGCAGGGCTCGTTACAGCTTTTGTCGTCGCAAATATTTCAGCAGCCAACCAGTCCCAGAGTCGGAGAGTCCGTGAAATAATGGCCAGTGCTTACTAGTTTTATGCGTGCAGAAAGAACGCTTTGGATGGGCGCATGCCTCCTCATTTATCACCGTGTCCCCGCCGCGCCGGCAGTTTCTTTTTTTCTTCTTGCGCTTCCTCCCCCCGCCCCCTTCTTCTCCGACGTCTCCTCTGGCTTGCTCCTCGCGAGGACAGGGCAGGGGGCGTGCAGGAGGGGTTGGGAAGGACGCGCGTATAAAAAGAAGCTGCAGGAGAGAATAATGTTAAGTGGAAAGCTGGGAAAGTTTGCATCGCCGTGCCATTGCCCGCTGGGGAGGCGGGCCTCCCTTTGGGTTGGGATTTGCTGGGCCTCACCCTGCTTCGCCCTGTTTCAATCTGCTTCATTCGGAGTCATTCCGTGTCACCCTTCTCTATCCTGATTCATCCTGTTTTATTCCATTTCACCTAGTAGGACTCGCTTCATCCCGCATCTCCCTGCTTCATTCCTCTTCATTCCACTTCATTCCACTTCACTATGCGTCACTTAACATCTACCGCATCACATCGCTTCACCTCCCTTCATACAGCTTCACCTTCAGTAAAACAAGGCCTCACTAGCCCTCACGCAGTATTTCATGGTATTTCACGTCATTTCACTTCGTTGGCCGGGCTTTTATCTCGCATCACTTCTCTTATTTCATTTCTCTCCTCTTTATTCCGCTTTATCCTTCTTCACCTCACTTCACTCCGTTCACCCACGTCATCCTGCATTAACCTGCATCACCCGCCTGTACCTCATATTTTGCCTCTCCAGCCTTCTTCAACTTAACCTTCGATTCCTCAACCATTACAAATCGTCCTAACTCCTTCCCCTCACCCCTTTCCTCGCCTTTTGTTCGCCTTCGGTTGGCGACCGCGGATACGGAAGCACAATTCATTAGAGACAATTATTTATTTCGCAATTTGAGCAGCGCTTTAGTGCCGTTCTGATGAACTTCACATGGAATTGCAGAACAGCTTGTTTTCGTTTTTATGGCTTATCGCATTCTGGCCACTTACTTAGAGTAGAATTCGGAATGGCGGCTGGGCGGGTGGTTGGGGTCGGCACGGCGCGGGGCGGCGGGGGGCGGGTCGAGGATGTAAAAAGGGAGAATAATTCCGCTAAGGACGAATAAACCTTCTCCGCAGAGGCCGTGTTTTACTCGGGAGGAGGCGATCGCTCTGTCTGCGGAGTGGAGAACGAGCGGTGTTTTGGTTTCGGATCGTGGCGTCTTGAGAGGGGAAGGGGAGGAAAGGAGAGGGGAGGTTTGAGAGAGGGTGCGAGAGAGAGAGAGAGAGAGAGAGAGAGAGAGAGAGTGGGAGGACACAGCGGACATCTCGATCAGTGCGACTCGACCAGTTTCTCTTGATCCGGTGAGCAAGAGCTGAGATGTTCTTTACTTTGCTTCTGGACATTAAATGAAGCTTTCTTTTTTCTTTCTTTAATCGTTCCATGTATTTCTTTCTTCTTTTTTTGACGACCTCGTCCACTAAATCGTTTATTTCTCAAAGACATTTCGAATTTTTTCTTTAAATTTTATCATTTGTATCAAAGAAGGGTAAAAACTGGCGCTGGTCCCATATCCAGCGAACTCCATATATTCGAAAATTACAAAAAGTTAATATTGCAAAAACTTCGACTTTGACGATAGAGATTTTGTCTCAAACGAAATTTGTTCTTAAACAGATTTTTTGAAAAAGATCTTGCTTAATTATTTAAAAAAAGAGAAGCTTTCGCGTAATTGTTTCTTGAATTAATACAATTTTTAAAGAAGATATTTTCTGAAACCTATATTTATATTTACTGAAACAACGCTCCAAATGTTTTGTTTTTTTACATTTTTTCCACGAATAGCAGAAACGCTTAAAAGAATAGCGCTGGTCTAATTTTCGTTGCACTCTCTAAATGGTCTAAGATTACAAAAAATGAAACAATGCGACGAAAATATAAAACAATACTGAGAAAGTATGTGATGCTGGAGCACCATTAACTTTGCCTCGGTCGGGAATCGAATCCGGGGTTCGCCGTAGAAAGCGAGAGCGCTAACCAACGAGTCACCGAGGGCTTCACAAGAATTTCATGATTCACCTCGAACTAAAACGCAACTTAGGCATAAAACATTATAGTTTTATGTACCAGGGGGGGTGCTAATCACTCATCAGCTCATCACATTCAGAAGTTATTACGAGATTCGCGATGAATCACGTGTTATTATGGATTTACAATAACACTGTTTTCTATCCAAGAATGCCAAACAAAATTAATAGGCTTTTTTAACAATATATTTTTATGATAGGCAATGATTTTGGACACTTTTACAACTACGAACATTTATTATATATTAACAAAATAATATACGTTATTGCAAATATTAACAAACATTAAATACTTTTACAATGCTTTGATGCTAATGCCAAATCAATAAAACAGCTTCTGTCTAAACCAACACAATCATTATTTAACTGTTGATTATTGTATTATAATACGAAAGAAAAATCTCCACGGCCGTCATAAATAATTCAGTATAAAATTAACGCACAAAGTCTTGTTTTATGTTACAATAAAAGATAGTTAGGTTTCATTACACACGCTAAGCAACAAGCGCATCAGAATGCTGTTAAGTACTATTCAGATATGTCAAATGTACCGTCCACTTGGTCGTATTTACAAAGGTAGTAACGCAAATAGTATGTTCACGGCTCCTTAACTTGATATTGAAATGCAACACGCTCATGAGAAAAAGAAATGTCAGCTTTTCTACTGATGAAATTGCGCTTCGTGTTATTTTAAATTACAAGTTTATTTTGTCATATAAACGTATTTGTAATGAGCAATGCAATTTCCAACTATTTCATGATTTGTCGTAAACGGAAAAGGAATTTTAGGTACAATATGATTGCATCACGTATTTTATCAGGTTGGAACGAAAGCTCATTGGGTTTCATTGTAGTAACTCAGCAAAAGGCGATGAAGAACTACATGTTACCAACTGCTCAGCTAAGTCTAATACACCTTGTACTTTGATAGCCGGTACAAAACTAGTAACGCAAGCGGTATGTTTCGAAAACAGTAATCGTACACGACCCCTTATCGGTGAAATGAGCTGCAACACGCTAGCCGCAGCCGAATAACCGAGCACTGGGCAGTTCGCAGAACGAATTTTACTATCAGGCCTAAAAAGGCGAAGACATTCATTTTCTGTATTTCTATCTGTGAGAAATATTGTTAACAAATTATGACTTCCCATTCGGTCACGATTTTATCCAGTTTCCCTTTATCTACTGCGAGCAAATGCATATTTCGTAAATGTCAGGTCCTACTACTACTACAAAAATAACTATTCTTTCAACTTAATACGATGTAAATCAAGAGATTTACGTAGTTCTTTGATATTTGTTGTTGATGACGAAATCTGCCCAATGAAGCGCATCCACAGGGTGAGGAGGGGGGGGTGGAGATCCAAAGGAATATTTCTCTTGAGAATACACTTTTTTCGTGGTAACAATTCTTCTTCTTCTTCTTCTTCTTCTTCTTCTTCTTCTTCTTCTTCTTCGACGGTTTCTACCCCTTAGAGTTTTCCCTTCCAATCCTTTCTCCTCCATTACTTCTTGTATATATGTCTTCCAGGTTAAACCAGGTCTACCTCTTTTACGTCTTCTTTCAGGTATCCAATTTACAATTTGTTTTGGCCATCTCTCATTTCGCATCCTCTGGACATGTCCATACCATTGAAGTGCTTTATTTTCTAATCTTCTGGTTATGGTTGTTTGAACCCCAGCTCTTTTCCACACCACTTCGTTTCTTATTTTATCCAGTCTTGTTATCTGCAAAGATCTTCTCATAAAGTCGAGCTCTACCGACCGTATTCTGTCTACGGCGTTTCGTTAAAGGCCACATTTCTGCTCCATATAATTTAATACTTTCCACGATACTGTGGAATATGTGTAGTTTCGTGTCTTGCCTTAAAACACTATTCCATATTGTAACAATTTTTTAATGTTATTATTTCAAAAAAGATTGGCGGGAGGGGAAATCCGAACTGAAAGTCCCCCTCACAATTCTTTGTGGATCTGCCTAGCCCTGAATCTGCCTAGCTGCTCCCCGTAGGTTCTCCGTCGGCGGGTTTTATTTCGCTACCTCCCTCGTGTTTCTCTTCTGCCCCCGCGCCGGCGCCGGAGCCAAATGCCCTCCGCGACGCACCCGCCTGAGATATCGGCCGACGGCGTTTTTCTCCGCCCAAAGCATCGTAACAGCATGCGCATGAGCGCACGCGCGATGTATCGCCGTGTTTGGAGCAGCTTGCGGTAGGAACGTGACTTTTCTTACGCGTGGGTGAACCCCAATACACACGTTGTGTCTTATGTGTTGTATTTGCCTTTTGGCAATAGCAAAAGTCAGGAGATGCAATTGATATACATAGTTAGTTGCATTATTGCTCACGAGATAATTGTTCTTATAACTTCTTTTGTTGTCAACTATTTGATTACACGTTTTGTAGCCAACTTTTAAACATCGTTGTAGTCGTTTTGTGCGACTATTAACGGTCAATACATTAGGGAGAGTGAAAGAAAGATTCTCAATTATTGAACATGTTTTCGTGAAAATGTTGAAATTTGACGTGATAGTTGTCTTTGTTTCGTGTAAAAGAATTGAAAACGATTATAGCTGTTTTAAAGGGTGTTTTAAAATTTCTTTACTGGTTGTGGTAAGGAAATTACTATTATTGCCAGAAATTTCGAAATTATCGTTTTTGGTTACTTTTCTTGCACTGTCAGTTGATTTTCAAAAACCGTTAGGTCAAAATACGCGTGTTTTGCGTCTGACCTTTTTTCCAAGAAGTCAGCTTAATTATCCAGAATTCATAAAAAACAAGTTTTTCAAAGTATATTAAAGAATTTTCTTAAAAGATTGTTAATGCTACATTTGTAATTTGTTTTGTTCATTTTGGTTTCAATATTATTTTGCTTCCCAAACACGTTTTCAAAATTTTTATTTGCAAGCGGATATGTGAAAAGTTGCACTAAGTGGTAAAAATAAATTCACCAGTAATGGTAAAATATTTTTTCATTCAATAATTCCTTTTTATGTAAAAAATTGATGCTCCAACTTCAAGATTCAGAGATTGAAAGATAAAACTACTATATAAAATCACATGATTTGTAAACAAAGTAAATAGTTTTTGAGAGTCATAATCTAGAAAAAATAAAAATGGACATTTCCACTATCATTTTATAAAATTACATATCTTTTTTATTTTTGTGTTTATAGAATGCGAATTTATAAAGTATATAATTAATTGTGAAACATTGTTGTCTTTCTCCCATGTTTTATATTACACTGTTTGAAAACAGATTCTTCCGTCTCAATAATAGTCTTAAGACAACAAATAAGAAGCTGTACCGCGACTGTACTTGGCAACATCACTGGATAAAACCCTTAACCTACAATCCTGAAATGCAGCCATAAAATTCAATAAAGCCTTCGGTAAGAGCATCGACTCGCCCGACGCCTCCAGGAGCAGACCGACCGCGCTGCAACTAGTTACCACGCGCGCCGCTAGATGGCAGGCGGCGCAGCGCCGGCAACCGCTTTCAATCAGCGGCAAGCAGCTTCTGTGCTAACGCTGATTAAACACGGCTGTGGCTTCGTCAGCCTCATCCTCTTACTGGCTGACTCCTCCCCCACTCCCCCACCCCTACTTCCCCCTCCAGTAGCTCCACCTCCCTCCCCTCTCTGGACATCGCAGGGGTGCAATATCGCTTACTGGCCGCTAATGCTCTTATAGCGACACGATCGCCTCCCGTCGTT